GGTGGGTGGTGGGGGGTGGATGGATGGATGGATGGATGGATGGATGAAGCTGCCCTGAGAGACAAAGCAATTCAGCTGATGAGACTGTGGCAAAACAGGAGGGCAATGAGAACAGAATGTCAGTTCAACTTAGCCATGTTTATTGGACAGTTGAATATCTTTGTGTCATTTAAGAGGTCACCAATGAACATGAGCACACAAAGCAAAGGGGGACACGCATATGGACAGAAAAGGTTTTAGAAAAGAAATTTGAGATGATGTGGTGAAGCAGCTCTTCTCAGCTTGATGGCAGCAGCAGACAGGAACCCAGAATGTCCCCTTCTCAGTGCCCAGGGGCCTTCATTTGGACTATTAGTATACTGACATTTCTGAAGAGTTCCTTGAAATATAAGTAGATGGCGAGTGATGGTGCAGAAAGAAAAAGATTCCAGTTAAGTGATACTGAGCCTGTGAGAGGGCGGTCAAGGTTTCTGTCTAGGTGGTGACTTGCTCTGCAGGAATGGGTGGGCTGAGGCCAGTTCAGGAGTCAGCAGGTTTGCTGGCAGCAGGCTGGCCGGCTGTGCCTCACAGGTAGTCGAGCTCGTGGATTTAGCAGCAGTGGGCAAGCAGGGACTCACCTCTGAGACAGCCTCCTTGCAGGGGGTTGAGTCAGCATAATCCGGTTGGCTGGAAGTGGACTTCTTGCAATCCTGTTTGCAGGAATCAGACTCGGCACATGGCACGCAGGAGCCGACTGGGCGGTAGGAGAAGGAAGTGACATAGGCCGGACGGCGCAGGATGGAGTGAAAAGGGCGGTAGCAGGCAGGGCGGTAGGAGATGGACGTCACATACGGCTGCCTGTATGTGATGGGGCCAGAGCAGATGGGGCGGCAAATCGGACGGTAGGAAATTGAAGTACTGCAAGGCTGTCTGCAGGAACTTGGTATGTAGAAAGTGGGCCGAGAGCAAGTTGGTTGGCAGATGGCAGATGCAGAAGACCCTGGGTGGCAACAAAGAGGTTGGCAGGGGGTGGAAGTGCAGGAAACAGGCTCACAGAAGACAGACTGGTAGTGCTTGACGATGTAGCAAGTAGATTGGCATGGGCTGGGCACAGATACACTTTGTGAGCAGGGGCTGGGCACACAGACACTTTGTGAGCATGGGCTGGACACACAGACACTTTGTGAGCAGGGGCTGCACACACAGACACTTTGTGAGCAGGGGCTAGACTCAGAGCAGATGGGTTGGCAGATACTGGAGACACAACAAGAGGGCTCATGGCAGGTGCTGGAGACACAAGATGGCTCGCAAGGGCTCGAAACACAGCAGACAGGGTGGAGGCAAACAGGCTCACAGACCAGAGCCACACAGGTAGCAGGCTGGCAGATACTGGCCTCTGAGCAAGATGGCTCACTAGAACTGGGGTCACAGCAGATGGGCTGGCAGCTACTGGTCACTGAGCAGACAGATGGACAGTAGCTGGGCCTTGGGCACACCGGCTGACAGCAAGTAGGCTCACAAACCACTGGTTGGCAGGAACTGGGCACCGTGCCAACAGCTGAGCAGCAGCTGGGCTCACAGATGACAGGGTGGCTGCAGGTGGGTTCACAGAAGACTGGCTGGCAGGAAGTGGGCACACAAAGGACTGGTTGGCAAGAGGTGGCCTCACAGCACACAGGTTGGCAGCAACTGCTTACAGAGCAAGAAGGTTCACAAGGTGTAGCTTCGCAGCTTGCAGGCTGGGCACAGGTACTCGCAGAGGAGGAAGGCTCACAGATTGTGGCCTCACAGCACACTGGCTGGGCACAGGTACTCAAGGAGCAAGAGGGCTCACAAATCGTGGCTTCACAGCACACAGGCTGGGCACAGGTACTCAAGGAGCAGGAGGGCTCACAAATCGTGGTTTCACTGCACACAGGCTGGGCACTGGTACTCACGGGACAGGAAGGCTGACAGCACTGGGGGCCACAGCTAGATGATCCGCAGCCATCTTGACAAGTCACCAGTTGCCACTTCTGCCTCCGGCAAGAACTGGGCAAGAAGATGGGCCCTCTGAAGCTTACCTCCCTGGAGCAGAGAGAGATGGCTGGTGTGGAGGGGCATTTCCTGGAAGAGCAGCTGCCAGTCATGGTGGAGGTGCCTCTGCTTCCTAGTGAGTGTTGAGAGGGAGCTGCTCGATAGTGACTGCTCTTTGAGGCCCTCATCTTTATACCCCCTCACTGGCGTGTGCTGTTTTGGGCTCCTGCATCTTCTCATCATTGCTGTTTGGGCCAGTTTGCAGAGGAACATCTTATTATGTCAAGGTTTGTTGATCTGGAAGTTGTTTGTCTCCCCATAAAGAAGCTGTTTATTTATTGACTTGCTAAATTTAGAATCCCGGAGCTACAGGTCATCTTGGAATAAGCATGATTGCCTTCAGGCTGGGTGATCTGTGTTTCTGAGCATCACGAATGGAGGAAGAGGAAAGGAACTTATAATTTATCCATCTTCTGGTCCTCTGTACCGGGCCCTGGGCTGGGCACAGGGTATGCCCCCATGAATAAGAACTACTCAGTCATTCTCATGGATCTCACTATCTAGTAGGCAAACACACAGGTAAACTCGTTGTAATACAATGATAAGCTCGACAATAGACTTCAGGAGATGGTGAGGTGTGTGGTGAAGAGCTCTGTCAAGGGGAGTGGCATGGATTTTGGATGACTGTGCTTTACAGCAATGATCTTATTTAAAACCATCCTTGAGGCAGAGATTCTTCTCCCCTCGCTATAGGTGAAAAGATGGGTGGGGAGTGAGGAGTGGGTCAGAGTGTTTAAGTCATTCACTGACTATCACACACAACCTGCCCCCTGATCTAGGGCTGGTCTCCTTCCTCCTCACCAACCTGTCTGGGCTGGCCCCTCTCAGGATCCTTGCTCGAAGCCACACGTCATAGGCTCAGCCCACCATGCTGTCCTCCATTCTGTTCCATAGTAGCCCTGCCCTAGAGCATTGGCTCTACCTGTCCCTGGGAAGCACTTGACCCAGCCTCTCTGCTTCTCCTCCTTACTTTTCTCCATCCTACCCTACCCCCACACCAAGTATTCAGAAACCTTCCAGGGCCTTTCTTGCCTTTGGTGATTTTAACAGCCTTTAAAAGAAAGATGTCTCCAAGACCGAAAAGGTGAAGAGGAAAGACAAGAGGTTACAGAGCAACCTCCCAAGTTTATCTCTTAAGGACCTTGTGAACAAGAGACTCATCTTTGCTGCAGCTTGAAGCAGAGGTGAGGTGAGAAATGAACCCTAAGCTTTGCTTTCTAAACCCCAAAGTCAGACATCCTTGCTCAGTGAAGAGCCTACCTTGCATCCACCATGTGCTTTCAGCATCAGTGCAAAAGTCAGACTCTCCCTTGGAACAGGTGAGCTGTGGTGCCATTCATCCATTCATCCCTCCTTCGTTCATTATGGAACCATTCACTCAGTCAATTTCTCTTTTACCCGTCTATTCAACTCACTCAACACTGAGTTATGTGTAAGGGATACAAAAAGAATGAGTTGGAGTTCCTGTCGCAAGGAGCCCACAGTTTAGAAGAGAGAGAAACACATCCATAGCAATCACAGTAGAGCATTACAGGTACTATGACAGAGGGACACACAGGGTTCTAGGGGGACACCCGGGAGAAACACTGACATGGGAAGTTGGAAAAAGCTTCTCAAATACACAATGGCCAAGCTGAATCCTTAAGGAAGAAGGATAAAAAAGGGGTGGTAAAAGCAAGAAAAAGAACAACTGTGGAAACCAAAGACATGAGAGTGTGACACATTGGGGGAGCAGCAAATGGTTCACTATCGTCAGGATGAAGTTCAAGGGGATAGTGATGGGACCAGAGGGGTTACTGGGCACCCAATCATGAAAGGCCTTGTGGGCCATAATAGGAAGTTGGGTTTTATACTGAAAGCTGTGGGTTTTAAGCAGGGGAGTAACTTACCCAGGTTTGCACTTTGGAAAGTTCTCTCTCACTATCCTGTAGAGAGGGGATTGGAGGAAGAGGGCAAGTCTGCAGGTGGGGGGACCATAGGGGTCTGGGGCAATAACCCAAAAGCTTCATGGTGACATCTTGAACTGGGCAGTGCCTTGGGACTGGAGCAATGTGAGGGGGTCTTGAAGAGGCAGAATCTACATGACTCAGTGGTTAAAAGTAGAAGATTAAGATCAGGGAGTGCCATCCTTTGAGATATGGCAATGGACCAGGCGGCAGGGAAAGAGGACTTTTGGACAGCTCTGCACAAGGGTAAGGCAGAGGTGGTACCTCTAAGGTAGAGGCTGAGACTGATCAATGGCAAAGTCAAATCTCAGATTCTCTCCAAAAGCAAGACACTACTAACACCACTGGACTTTAAAAATGCGACAGAAAATGGAAAATACATTGAGCTACCACTACACACTTGCTAGAATGGCTAAAAATAAAAAGACTGACAATATCAAGTGTTAGCAAGGACATGGAGCAAGTGGAACTCTCAGACATTGCTGGTGGAAATACAAAATGGTACAGGTGCTTTGCAAAACAGTCTGGAAGTTTCTTATAAAGTTAAACTTACATGATTAAACATTCACTTGCCATTTACTCATATGTCCACACGAAGATTTGTACATGAATGTTCACAGCAGCTTTATTCATAATAGCCCAAAACTGGGAACAACCCAAATGCCCATCAGTAGGTGAATGTATTTTTTAAAGGTGGTTTCTCCATACAATGGAATACTACTATTCAGTAAAAAAGGACAAACTACCGATACCTGCAACAGCATGGCTAAATATGAAAAACATTATCCTAAGCGAAAAAGAGTTCACACTGTATGATTTTGTTTATATGAAATTTTAGAAATGGCAAAATATCTAGTGGGTTAAAGCAGATTTATGGTTGCCTGGGATGAGGAGTAAACAGTATGTTTGCAAAGGGGAACCGGGGAATTTGAGATGATGGAGATGTTCTATATCTTAATTGCATGGTGGTTACATTAGTACATAAAATCATTTCAAACTGTACACTAAAATTGGGAGCATTTTCTTATACATAAATTCTATCTCAATAAAGTTGGCTTATAAAAAATGAAACAGAGAAATTTTTAAAAATAAAGCAGCATATCCAAGTTTTATTTGTAAATATGCTTAGAAAGGAATCTGGAAAGATGCACATCAGTAATAAAGTCTGAGTAGCAAGAATTCAGTTGTTATTGTATTGGTTTTTTTTTTCTTTCATATTTTAGGAAACATTGCCTTGCATATAACCAGAAGAAAAAATGTTTTTGTGTAGTTCTTTATTTAATAAGACATTGCTTTGGAGGATAAAAATAAATATTGTTTTCCCAGGGAAAGAGCAGAATTAGTTTTATTCCACTTGTAGCTTAAAATCACGTTCAGCAGGATGTTGAATCATCTCGCTCTCTTGAGTTTTCACCTTCCAGCTGGGCTCCCAAACACCTAGGTGAGACCCCACCTAACAGATGGACAGACACTCACACTTCTCATCTCTGAAACTCAAGCAGGAGGAATGCAGCTGATTCCAGGACCAAAAAAAAAACCTAACTCAGAAAACTGAACACAGAAATGTGAGACTGGGTCAAAGCACGCAGCTGGAGGAGGAACTGGACTGCTCAGAACATCTTCAGAACCTGCGGCTGGCTTCACAAGGCTTTTCCCCAGGAATCCCTTCCAGTTAATCAGAACCAAGCTTGTTTTACCAAAGACACCTACCCTGATCTTGCCAGAGTTCTGACCAAGCCTGAAACCCTCCTGCGATCCATCCCAAGTAGACTATAATGCAGAGGAAAGAAGCCATGCCCCTCCCTCAAGATTAAACATAGCCAGAATCAACCTTGACCCAGGAGCTTTTAAAAATGCAGGTGCCAAGGCCCCACCCTAGAGCTAATGGAGAAAATCTCCAGTGGTTAAGCCCAAGAATCTGTATCTGTAAAAACCTCCCCAAGTGAATCCCATGCAGCATATGGGAGCTTTAGTCTACACCTGTGGTTCTCAGACTTCAGTGCATAAGAATTACCTGTGGGTTCTTGTTAAAACACAGATTCCCAGGCCACACTGCTGTAGATTCTGATTCTGCCTATCTCAGGAAGGGTCCCCAAATCTCTGGTTTTAACTGGCCCTCGGGTGATCCTGATACAGGTGATCCACAAACCACATCTCAAAAACCCTGATTTGGATGCCAAATTGTCCTGACCCAGTCCAAGAAGGAGGTGAAAGAAGAAGCAGGAGGACTAATTAGGTTATGCCAGCATGCTTGAATTTATTCAGAGGTTAACAAAGGAGAATGTTTGTGTCTCAAAAGCAGCAAAAAGCTGGGGAGGGAAGGTCAGTCCCAAAAACACCTTGAGTAAAAGGATGCCTTTCCAGTTCAAGAATAGAAAGCCTCAGGGGTTCACCCTTTAAGCTGGGGTGAATCACCTGGGGTGGGACCCACTTTCAGTCTCTCACCAATATGACCCTTGTTCTCAGTGCTTTGAAACACCCGGGCCAGCATTACAGAACAAGTCCTCCTCTACAAATAACCCGGAGGCTTGGGGGGTGAAAGGTCCTGGAGACAAAGTGGTCTCCATCTGGAGCAGATGGAGTCTTTCACTGGGACTTCCTCAGTGGCGGTGACCAAGGTCTTCATTTCGTGTCACATACAGGCATGGGCTGGCAGCACACAGGGCCACAGCACCCCGATGAGCCACAGCAGCTGGAGCCACAGCAGCTCCCACAGCAGCCTCCTCCACAGCCTCCGCAGCCTCCCCCGCAGTCCGAGTCACAGCAAGAAGATCCACAGCAGCCTCCGCTGCAGCCACAGCCTCCACACCCAGAGCTGCCACAGCAGGAGCCACAGCAGGAGCCGCAGCAGGAGCCGCAGCAGGAGCCGCAGCAGGAGCCGCAGCAGCTGCAGCAGGCAGGCTGGCAGCAGCACACTTCACAGCAGCCTTGTTCTTGCGGGCAGCAGGTGAAGCAGTCCCCTGGGCAGCATCCCATGGTCCCAGATGGTCAGGTCACAGGTCAGTAACTCAGCCAGAGTTCCCCAAGTCTGACGGTGCCAGCTGGCCAGCAGCTTTTATATCCCCTCACCCAAGGGTGCTGGCACAAAGGACAGGATGTTTTCTTTGTTATTATTTACGCCAGTTTCCATAAGAACGGCTTATTAGCTGGCTGTTTATTTTCCAGTCATAAAAAAGCCCCACTCGTCCCAACTGCTATTTGTCCAGAGGGTAAAAATACACCTTCGCTAAGACCTGTCATCCTGGCCCAACGTCACTAGCCGTCAGTCATTAGCCTAGGATGCATAGAGGAAGGGGAAGCCAGCCATCAACTAACTCTGGCTCTGGAATGGTGGGCTTCGCTCCCACATCTTCTCTGGCAGCAAGTTGGCAGCTGACCCCTTTAATCATGGATACTGGTCCTGGAAAACTAGAACAGCTAAAAGTGGATGCCCTGTTCCTTCTGCTCCAGGTAGAGACTGGTAGAGATGGCCTGGTCATGTGGCTCCTCCCTGGTGGAAATGGCATCCCTGTTCCGGCCCACATGAGCAAGGCAAATATGTGTACCTGTGTGTGGTATGTGGAGTGTGCTACACATTTGTTTGGGCTTGGTCAGTGAGCATCAATTATGAGTAATGACTGCCCTGCGAAATGGAGAGACTCGCCATAAAACTGCAGAAGGTCAGGGAGTCATGTTCTTGTGGCTGCACCGTGAACTGAGCACTCACACTTTTCTCTAAATGGGCTGGGGAGCAGTGGTCAGAACCTATGATACCCAGCCCCAGGCCTCTCCTTGGTAGAAGGAGAGGGAGGAGATGAGGAAGGAGAAGGAGAGATGGGCAGAGGGAGGGAACGAAGGAAGGAAGGAAGGAAGGAAGGGAAGAAAGAGATCATTAACTAGCCAAGCACTGCATTAAATTGGGGATGTTATGCATTTTTTTAAAAAGAGATCCAACCTTTATGGACCATCTAATAGAATGAGGAATTAGGGTACAAAATACCCAGAGTGCCATCCCAGGGAATAAAAAGACTTTGGAAAGAGACTGGACTCCACAGAGGATTCAGGTCCATGTGTAAATTCTGAGAAGGTTCAAAATTCCTGTCCCTGTCTTGGGCTTTGGTACCTTGTCATCGTCTTGGAATGATAATGGTAGCCCTGGAGCCTACAGGGTTGGCCCTCTGGAATGTAGCACCTGGTGAGGCCTGGGGATCTGGATCAGGGGACACAGCCCCTCTCCTTCAGTTTTCCTTTCCTTTTTAGATGGGCCTGAAAGTAAGGCAGCCTCTAAGAAGATCTGAGAAGTAGGGGTAGAGGATGGGGGACTGGGGCTGCTTGGATCTGATATAACTCTCATTCTTCACAGGGCATGGCATTTTAAAGCCAAGAAGAAACCCAAAAAATCTTCTGGTCCAGGAGTTTCTAAGACTAGTTTTACATCAGAATTGCCTAGGGTAGGGGCTTTCTAAAAATATATATTCCCAAACTTCCCCCTATCCCTGTCAAATGAGCTCATAGGACCTTGAGAAAGTTTCCCATCTGACTCAGATTATCAACTAGGCTAGGAAACACTGATGTAATCTAATACCACAATGACTATCACCCCCAAGCCCTTTTATTCTACAGAAGAAGGTGCCAAAGCCCAGAGAGGAGACATTAATGATAGATTGGACCCATAACCCAGATGTTCTGTCTCCTAGTCCAAGGGTCATTCCACTACACCACACCATATCCACAGGTGGGCACCTCTGGGTAATTATAATGCAGCAATGTCCACAACAGACACATCCTTTTAATTTTTTTTTAATAATAGATGCTGTGAAGGTTCAGGTTGTGTGTCAGCTTGCCTGGGCCACGATTCTCAGGGGTTTGGTGGTTATTTAATGATATAGTTTGGCAGTTATGTAATATTGTAATTTGGTGGTTATGTAATAATGTAGTTATCCCCCATTTTGTGATATAATGTAATCACCTCCATGATGTGACCTGATGTGATCAGCCAATCAGTAGTAAGGGGAATTTCCTCAGGGGTGCAGCTTGCATTCAATATATATAGACATTCTGGCAAAGCTTGCTGGCATTTGCTCACTCTGGATCCTGCATCCAAGCTTGTCATCATCTAACTTCCAGTTCTTGGGACTTGAGCCAGTAGCCTGCCATCTTAGGTTCATCAGCCCCTGAAGCTACCTGAGTCAAGAGAAGCCTGTAACCTGATGCCTGACCCATGGACTTGAGACTTGCCAGTCTCTACAACCTTGTGAGTCATTTCTTTGAGATAGATATATATATGTATATGTACACTTCACTGGTTTTGCTTCTCTAGGGACCCTGCCTAAGACATTTGGTATTGAGAGTGGTTCTAGAGAAACAAAATTGTAAAGATGCATTTTCTAAATTGGCTCTCGAGTCTGGTTAGTCTTAAAAGATGTTGACTCTGCTTCCAGTAGTAAAGAGGGCACTGCTAATCCATGGCATGAGGTGGCAATAGAAATAAACAAAATATCACCACCAATAGATCAAGTATTGGTGAGAGGTGAGGCTCTGGATGATGGCATGTGTCTTAGTTATCTAGTACTGCTATAACAGAAATAACACAAATGGATGACTTTAACCAACAGAAATATATTCTCTCACAGTCTAGGAGGCTAGAAGTCTGAATTCACAATGCCAGCTCCAGGGGAAGGCTTTCTCTCTCTGTTGAATCTGGGGGAATGTCCTTGTCATCAATCTTCCCCTGGATCTAGGAGTTTCTCAGCACAGGGACCCTGCATCCAAAGGACGTGCTTCACTCTTGGCTCTTCTTTCTTGGTGGTAAAAGGTCCCTGTCCTCTCTGCTCACTTCTCTCTTTTATATCTCAGAAGAGATTGATTCAAGATACAACATAATCCTGTAGATTGTGTCCAGCCTTATTAACATAACTGCCTCTAATCTTGCCTCATTAACATCATAGAAGTTAGAATTTATGACACATAGGATAATTATATCAGATCACAAAATGGAGGACAGCCACACAATACTGGGAATCATGGCCTAGCCAAGTTAACACACATTTCAGGGGAACATAATTCAATCCATAATAGCATGTTTGATACTTTTCTACAGTTTTGACAGTTTTGGTCGGTCCTACTTTGGCTAGACAAACGGGTAAAAGAAAGAGACGAGCTCAAGGCTTCAGAGTCACAGCTCAAGCATCGCATAAACAACCTCAAAGTTGCCACTTGTACCCTGAAAGAAAGCCTTATTTCTTGCAGTAACAGAGCTGACACTGCCAAAAACCAAGCTCAGACTGGCTGAATTACATCAACTGAATTCCCAACCTCGAATGGTGTCTGAAGTTAAAGTGAGGGCATTGATTGGGAAGAAATGGGATCCTGAAACTTCACTGTCGTACCTCAGGGGCATAGCAACTCTCCAGCCCTATGTCATAATTTAGTCAAGCAGAGACCTTGCCTTGACCGCCTTTCCCTTCAACAAGATGTCATACTGGTCCATTACATTGATGACATTATGTTGACTGAACCTAGTAAGGAAGAAATGTCAATGACCCTGAACTTATTGGCAAACCACTTATGTGCTAGAGGGTGGGAAATTAACCTGACAAACATTCAGGAACCTTCCACCTCAGTGAAATTTCTAGGGATTCAGTAGTGTGGGGCATGTCAAGATATTCCTTCTAATGTGAAGGATAAGTTGTTTTATCTGGCCCCTCCTACAACTAAAAAGGAGGCACAATCTTTGGAATTTGGAGGCAATATATCCCTTATTCAGGTGTGCTACTCTGACCTATTAATCAAGTGACTCGAAAAGCTGCTAGTTTTGAGTGGGGCCCAGAACAAAAGAAGGCTCTGCAACAGGTTCAGGCTGCCATGCAAGCCACTCTGCCACTTGGGCCATATCACCTGGCTGATCCAGTGGTGCCTGAAGTATCAGTGGCAGATAGAGATGCTGTTTGGAGTCATTGGCAGGCCCCTATTGGTGAATCACAGTGCAGACCCTTAGGATTTTGGAGCAAAGCCCTGCCATCCTCTGCAGATAACTACTTTCCTTTTGAGAAACAGCTTTTGGCTTGTTACTGGGCCTTAGTGGAGACTGAACACTTAACCACGGGACATCAAGTTGCCATGCAGCCTCAGCTGCCCATCATGAACTGGGTGTTGTCTGACCCACAGAGCCACAAGGTCAGACGTGCACAGCAGCACTCCATCATTAAATGGAAGTGATACATAAGAGATCAGGCCCAAGAAGGACCTGAAGACACAAGTAAATTGCATGAGGAAGTGGCCCAAATGCCCATGGTCTCCACTTCGGTCACATTACCTTCCATTTCCCAGTCTGCACCTATGGCTTCATGGGAGTTCCTTATGATCAGTTGACTGAGGAAGACAAAACTCGTGCCTGGTTTACAGGGTTCTGCATGATATGCAAGCACCACACGTTCACTTTGCCTGGAAGGAGAAATGGTCAGATGTACAATTTTATACTGATTCATGGGCTGTGGCCAATGGTTTGGCTGAATGGTCAGGTACTTGGAAGGAACATGATTGGAAAACTGGAGACAAGGAGGTATGGGGAAGAGGTATGTGGATAGACCTCTCTGAATGGGCCAAAGAAGTGAAGATGTTTGTGTCTCATGTGAATGCTTACCAAAGGGTGAACTTGACTGAGGAGGATTTTAACAATCAAGTGGATAGGCTAACGTGTTCTGTGGAAACCGGTAACCTCCTTCCCCAGCCACTCCTGTCAGTGTCTAATGGGCTCATGAACAAAGTGGCCACAGTGGCAGGAATGGAGGTTGTGCATAAGCTCAGCAACATGGACTTCCACTCACCAAGTCCAACTTGGCTATAGCCACTGCTGAGTGTCCAATCTACCAGAAGCAGACACCAACACTAAGTCCTTGATATGGCACCGTTCCTCAAGGTGATCAGCCAGCAACCTGGTGGCAGGCTGATTAAATTGGACTACTTTTATCATGGAAAGGGAGGCATTTTGTTCTTAC